TCTTGCAGATCTTCATAGATCAGTTCAACTTCAGCTTTTTCAGTATTACTGTTTGTGGCATAGACTTGGATTACCGTGATATTGAATGGTTTGCCTTGGAAGTGAACAGAGATCATTCTGTCGTTTTTGAGACTGCGTCCAACTACTGCCTTTCGGACTCTTTTATTGACTATGATGTGTACTCCATTTCTTCTGCGGGGTTCTTGCTGACAGTAGTAGATATAATGGTCATCTGAGTTAAATTCACCCATTCCAGTCCATTTTAGTTCACTGATTCCTAAAATGTCAACGTTCACTCTTGCCATCTCCTGTTTGACCACTTCCAATTTGCCTTGATTCATGGACCTAACATTCCAGGTTCCTCTGATATTGCTCTTTACAGCATTGGACCTTGCTTCTATCACCAGTCACATCCACAACTGGGTGTTGCTTTTGCTTTGGCTCCATCTCTTCATTCTTTCTGGAGTTATTTCTCCACTGATCTCCAGTAGCATATTGGGCAGCTACCAACCTGGGGAGTTCATCTTTCAGTGTCCAATCTTTTTGCCTTTTCATACTGTTCATGGGGTTCTCAAGGCAAGAATACTGAGGTGGTTTGCCATTCTCTTCTCCAGTGGACCACATTTTGTCAGAACTCTCCACCATGACCTGTCTGTCTTGGGTGGCCCTACATGGCATGGCTCATAGTTTCATTGAATTAGACAAGGCTGTGGTCCATGTGATTAGATTGATTAGTTTTCTGTGATTGTGGTTTCAGTCTGTCTGCCCTCTGTTGCCCTCCTTCACCATCTACTGTCTGAAAACAGTGAGAGTTTTACTTCTTCTTTCCAATCTGGATTACTTTAATTTCTTTTTCTTCTCTGATTGCTGTGGCTAAAACTTCCAAAACTATGTTGAGTAGTAGTGGTGAGAGTGGGCACCCTTGTCTTGTTCTTGACTTTAGGGGAAATGCCCTCAGTTTTTCACCATTGAAGATAATATTTGCTGTGGGTTTATCATATATGGCTTTTATTATGTTGAGGTATGTTCCTTTTATACCTACTTTCTGGAGCGTTTTTATCATAAATGTATGTTGAATTTGTCAAAAGCTTTCTCTGCATCTATCATATGGGTTTTTTCTTTCAATTTGTTAATGTGGTATTCACATTAATTGATTTGCAAATATTGACAAATCCTTGCATCCCTGGAATAAAGCCCACTTGGTCATGATGTATGCTCTTTTTAATATGTTGTTGGATTCTGTTTGCTAGAATTTTGTTAAGGATTTTTGCATCTATGTTCATCAGTGATATTGGCCTGTAGTTTTCTTTTTTTGTGGCATCTTTGTCTGGTTTTGGTATTAGGGTGATGGTGGCCTCAGAATGAGTTTGGCCGTTTACCTTCCTCTGCAATTTTCTGGAAGAGTTTGAGTAGGATAGGTGTTAGCTCTTCTTTAAATTTTTGGTAGAATTCACCTGTGAAGCAGAAGGGCTTTCTTATTCAAAGATGATAGCTATTCATATTATATAGAAAGTGAAAGTGAAGTCGCTCAGTTGTGTCCGACTCTTTGAGACCCCATGGACTGCAGCCTCTCAGGCTCCTCCGTCCATGGGATTTCCCAGGCAAGAATACTGGAGTGGGTTGCCATTTCCTTCTCCAAGAGATATTCCCGACCCAGGGATTGAACCCCGGTCTCCCGCATTGTAGGCAGATGCTTTACTATCTGAGCCACCAGGGAAGTTCCATATTATATAGATTTCATGTTAATACTTAAGGGGTTTCATTTTTTTAATTAAAATAGTATTTTATGTTATTCAATGACTATATACTTAGTATAAAACAATTTTGATGAAAGGAAATTTTTAAACAGTAAAGTGAAATCTTCCATAATCTCACATTCTAAGAGAGTGTTAAAAATGTTGCTGTATACCCTTCTAGGATTTTTTCCTTGCATGTAGTATTATAACTTGGGGATCATGGGGCCATATTTTATGGTTCTGTATCATCATTTTGGGGCTTCTCTGGTGGCTCAGCCTTTGACTGTGTTGATCACAATAAACTGTGGAAAATTCTGAAAGAGATGGGAATACCAGACCACCTGACCTGCCTCTTGAGAAATCTGTACGCAGGTCAGGAAGCAACAGTTACAACTGGACATGGAACAACAGACTGGTTCCAAATAGGAAAAGGAGTACATCAAGGCTGTATATTGTCACCGTGCTTATTTAATGTATATACAGAGTACATCATGAGAAACGCTGGGCTGGATGAAGCACAAGCTGGAATCAAGATTGTCGGGAGAAATATCAATAACCTCAGATATGCAGACGACACCACCCTTATGGCAGAAAGTGAAGAGGAATTAAAAAACATCTTGATGAAAGTGAAGGAGGAGAGTGAAAAAGTTGACTTAAAGCTCAACATTCAGAAAACTAAGATCATGGCAGCTGGTCCCATCACTTCATGGCAAATAGATGGGGAAACAGTGGCTGACTTTATTTTTCTGGGCTCCAAAATCACTGCAGATGGTGATGGCAGCCATGAAATTAAAAGACACTTACTCCTTGGAAGAAAGTTACGACCAACCTAGATAGCATATTAAAAAGCAGAGACATTACTTTGTCAACAAAGGTCCATCTAGGCAAGGCTATGGTTTTTCCAGTGGTCATGTATGGATGTGAGAGTTGGACTATAAAGAAAGCCGAGCACTGAAGAATTGATGCTTTTGAACTGTGGTGTTGGAGAAGACTCTTGAGAGTCCCTTGGACTGCAAGGAGATCCAACCAGTCCATCCTAAAGGAGATCATTCCTGGGTGTTCATTGGTGGGACTGATGTTGAAGCTGAAACTCCAATACTTTGGCCACCTGATGTGAAGAGCTGACTCATTTGAGAAGACCTTGATGCTGGGAAAGATTGAGGGCAGTAGGAGAAGGGGATGACAGAGGATGAGATGGCTGGATGGCATCACTGACTCAATGGACATGAGTTTGAGTAAACTCTGGGAGTTGGTGATGGACAGGGAGGCCTGGCGTGCTGCGGTTCAATGGGGTCGCAGAGAGTCAGACACGACTGAATGACTGAACTGAACTGGTGGCTCAGTGATACAGAATCTGCCTGCAATGCAGGAAACATGGGCTCAATCTGAGTCGGGAAGATCCCTTGGAGTGGAAGTGACAACACACCAGTATTCTTGCTTGGGAAATCCCATGGACAAAGGTACCTGGTGGGTACAGTTCATGGGTTCACAGAAGAGTTGGACACAACTTCACAACTAAATAACAAAACATCATAATTTTTGGTGATTTCCATTCTTATTGTTGGGCATTTAAATTGATGTCCAATTTTTTGTTGTAATCTTCAGTGAACACTTTCATAGATACTCCCCCCTCACTTGTCTATTTAGATGGATTCATAGAAGTAAGATTCCTGGGCCTCGCTTATCTATTTAGATAAATTCTTAGAAATGAGTTTCCTGGGCCATTATAATAGTATGTATTTTGCTAATTTTGATCCAGATTTTTTTTCCAAAATCATATTATACTATCTTCTTTTTCTCTAGGCTTCAGCCACACTTGCCTCTTTAGTAGCCTTCAAATGCTCTGGCTCCTTTTGCCTCAGGGCCTTTATGCTAACACATGCTCTTCTTTCCACCTGGAGGGCTCTTACCTCCCTCCACTTCTTACTTAGGCAGTTCCCACCCAGCCACTCAAGGTTCATCTTAAAAGTGTCAGGACCTCAGAGAAAGCCACTCTGATCCACTAGGGAATAACCCACATTATTCCCTTTATAGCACTATGTTTCTTTTCTTTATTGCTTAAACTCCATTTCTGATTGCAGCATTTCATAATGTAATATCTGCCTTCTCCACCAGAGAAATCCCATGAGGGCAAGAATCTTTTCAGTTCTGTTCACTGTTGTACACCCAGCACCTAGCAGCTAGGTGCTCAATGAGCATTTTGTTTTAATTTATTTCTTAATTGAAGGATAATTGCTTTACAGAATCAGTGAGTATTTTTGGAATAAAATTATGTTGCCATGTTCCTCATTAGATAGAGAGAACCAATATATATTCTTAAGAAGTATGACTTTTGGTTGATTTTTTACATTTAAATTAAGATGGCAGGGATTTAACTTGATTTTTTCCCAGTTAGCCATTTGTCCCATATCCTGCATTATTCTGTAATTCAGTCTTTTCTCACTTTAAAATATTATAGTTAGTTATAATAAATTCTTAAATCTCTTTCTGGACTTCCTTTTTCGGTACATTGCTTTGTCACCCTAGGCACCATGACATACTATTTTAATCATTTTTGCTGTATAGTATATAATTACTTGATAGGCACATTCTACTGCATTAACTTTTGTTTCTATCCTGTGTTGTCCCAGATAAAATTTTGACTATCTTCCTAAGTTCCAAAGAAGAAAACTCTATTGAAATTTTATTGAATGTACAAAGTAATATTTAGTATTGCCATCTACAAACATGCTTTGTTCTATCCTTTTCAATATTTTATCATTCATTGATCCTGAAAATTACTAAATTTTATTCTTAGGGATTTTTTTTTATTGCTGTCAGGATAAAATGTTTTTTCTTATTATATCTTATATGTGTTAATTGATGACATAGTGAAAAAACTAATTTGGGGTTTTGTATTATTATTTGTTTTGTACTTTTCTCATAAGTTTTCAGTTCTTTTAGGTTTTTAAGATAAACTAATAACAACTTGTCACAAACCACTTTTAGTATGTTTATTCCGGGATGGAAATATTTCAAAGCTCTCATATTGTTCTAGGTTATATTTGTAGTTTGAGATTAGGCATAAATATCTTATTTGCTTGTACTGTCCACAGTTACAGTTGTAAAATCAAATACAAGTGGAAATGTAGTTAACAGTTTAGGTTGCTTTAGAAAATGAATTAAAATTTGGATTTTTTTCCCTCTTAAACCTTTCATAAAGGATACTGTAAATCAGACTTGACAAAACTATCTTAGTTCTAAAATGATGTTTTCCCTGTTTAGGAAGTAGTTCTAAAAGATGGAAGAATTGAAAGATTAAAGCTGGAACTTGAAAGAAAAGACGCTGAAATCCAGAAGCTGAGAACTGTGATTGCCCAGTGGGAGGTGTGTACATGTTCAGTGCTGTAAACCAGCACTTCTGTGGATCCGCACAGTTTCTGGTTTTACTGTATGCAGATATGTTTAATATTTGATGGAAATAATAGCTGCTGTTTAGGTTTTTAGCTCATTGATTATATAGCATCTAAATGATATATTTTTATCATAGTAAAATAGATATAACATTAAATTTGCCATTTTGACCATTTTTAAGTGTCTAATTCAGTGGCATTAAGTGTTGTATGACCATCACCACTATCTGTTTTCAGAAGGTTTTCATCATCCCAGACAGAAACTCTGTACCCATTGAACTCCCTATTTCTCCTTGTACCGCAGTCCTTGACCTCTACTCTCTGTGAATTTGCCTGTTCTAGGTACTTCATATAAGTGGAATCATATGGTATTTGTCCTTTTCTGGTCTGACTTACTTCACCTGCCATAATGTTTTCAACATGTATATCCACGTTGTAGCATATATCAGAACGTCACTCCTTTTTATGGCTGAATAATAATACTCCACTGTATGTTTATACCACTTTTTTATTCACCTGTTGAAGGACACTCATTGTTTCCATCTTTTGGCTATTGTGAATAATACAGCCATGAACATTGACGTCTAGTATCTGAGTCCTGGCTTTCCTTTCTTTTGGTACACACCTAAGAGTGGAATTGTTGGATCATGTGGTCATTCTGTGTTTAACTTTTTAAAAATTTTTAAATGTTTTTAATTGGACTGTGATTGGTTTACAGTGCTGTGTTAGTTTCTGCTGTACAGCAGTGTGAATCGGCTCCATGTGTGCATCCTTACCCTCCCTCTTGAGCATGCCCCCGCCCCACCCTTCCATCGTCACAGAGCACCAAGCTCTGCTCACTGTGCTGAGTAACACTTCCCACTAGCTGCCTGCTTTACACATGATAGTGTGTATAATGTCAGTGCTACTCTCAACTCATGTGGTAATTCTGTTTAACTTTTTAAGGAACCGTCAGACTTTCCCATAGCAGTTGCACCATGTTACTTTTCCCCCAGCAATGCATAAGGTTACCAGTTTCTTCATATCCTCACCAGCACATGTTATTTATACAGTTTATTTTAACCACAAAACTATTACTCTTCTCCTTTCTCAGGCTTTAAAAAAAATCTCTTATTTATTTCAGGTAGCATTCTTTTTTTGAACTAATATTTATTCACTCAACGATTATTTGTTGAATGCCTATAATATGCCAAGTGCTTTTCTGGGCCTATGTACTAATTGAGAAAAAAATGTCAGGTTCCAGCTCTGATGGTTCTTACATTTCCCTTCCTCTTGTACTCGTGCCTTTAAGAATCATCCCTGTTAAAAACCCTCCTGAACTTCACCCACTTCTCCCTTTTCTTGTCATTTATATTTTATTTTGCTTTTGTTGAGCACTTACCATGAGTTAGGCACAGTGAATGCAAAGGTGAATTAGTAGGAAGCTCGTAGTCTAATGGAGAAAATAAATCATGTAAATAATTGCAGTACAATGCAGAATTTGTAACAGATTTGACAGAGTGTTCTAGAAACAGGAATGAATCTGTTGCTGCTATTGAAAATTGCTAAGGATTTCACCCCCAAAAAAAGATAGTTTTCCCACATTGAACAGTGCATACAAAGGGAAGAGAATGGTAGGAAATGCATTGTTGCTGATATTTAGAGAAATGGGAAGTTGTAGGAGAGATTAGAGATGTTAGTTGAGGTGAGATTATTAAGGTATTTGCATTTTAGACAAGGAGAGGGCAGTAAAGGTTTTAGAAGGAAAGTGACCTGAAAGTTGTTTTGTGGAAGATAATGCACCTAGCTGAGGCCTGGAATGAAGACAAATCTGGTAACATAATTAACAGGTATTGAGTGTTAAGAGGAAGAACACGTTTTTAACTGGTTTGGGAAATGGGAACTAACAGATCCCATGTTGAGTTGGACATGTTGAGTTTGAAATGGCTGTGGATGTGGGCATAGATGTTCAGGATGTTGAACATCTGTGTTGGACCCTGTCAAGTCACAACATATGTGTATTTAGCTTTGTGTTCTCTTTTTCATGACATTAAAAGTACTAACGAGGACACTATATTCCATATGTTGTTATAAATTGCATAGTACTAGGATTTTATACTTTTAGGTTTTCACAGATATTAATATATTTCCTGTTCAGGACTATATATGCAAAACTATGTTATTTTTATGAGCAGTATAAGGAATTTTCATGGGTAATTTTGCTCATTTACAATCTTTCCTTTATGAACTGGCTTTAGACCTTGAGGAGTAACTAACAATATGCCTCCCTATATACACTGATCTGAACCTTGGACAAAGGCTTGAGCTCAAGAAACAGTTTGATGAGATATTAACGTTAATCGAAGCCCTGAGAGTGAGAATTTCATAATGCATACAGTTCTGTATTCCCAGTAGATACACGTCCGTATTCCTAATGAGTACAGTTGTAATTGACTGTGTATGCTTTCCCTTCATATTTTTGTGTTTCCAGGGGACTTATCTCCCTCCTTCATTTCCTAGCTTCTCAAAAGTCCACAAGTTCTACAACCTTTTATGTTCACTGTGCTTGCTGCTTCCATTCAGTGTGTTGTCTGCAGTATCACTGAATAACATTATTGCTTTATCCTCAGCAATTTACTGGACATAGTACTTAGTAAAAGTCATCTGCTGGACTTAATTTAAAATACATCAAATTTGTTTTATAAGGAAGATCTTTGAATCTGGTAACTTCTGTGCATATCTGTGTACATGTTGAGAGAAGAAATGACAAGTTTCTTATATTGATCTATTTTCTTTGACCTCCTCTTATTTCTATAATTATTAAATATATTGTTTTCTAAAATGTATTAATTTATTAAATATTTATAAATAGTTCAGTGTGTGCTATATGTTGAATAAAGGTACTATAGGGGGAAAATTATCTGGAATCTGGATGTTAATGTGGGAATACAATTCCTAAATTGTTTATAATGTATAATTGTGTCATTTGTGTAGTTTGAAAAGGAGCCATTTTTTAAAAGTTGAAAATAACTGAAAAATATTTCAGTAGATTACTCATTTCAGCCAAAAATTATTTTAATAGTATTTAGTTAATGAAATAACAAAAGATTAGTAAAGCCCTAACTGAGCAAATACAGAACTGTACTGTATAGTAATCACTACACGTGGTATAAAATTAATATGCTACATGAATTTTAAATAAAAATAAATTTTTTAATTTGTAAATGTAAAGGTTAAATAAATTAAAATTTTAATTTAATAAAACTAAATACAATTAAAAGTCATTTTCTCAGTAACACTGGCTATGTTTCTAGTAGTTAGTAGTCACATATTGAACAGTGGCAATTATAGAAAAGATACAGAGAGTTCTAGTATGGTACTGTATAGAACTGTGCAGCATTTTTCTTTTTGTTTTCATATAGTTATTTTGAATTGTATAAGGACTTTATTCAAGGAGGAAAAGTGACTCTTCAGAAAAATTTAGTTTTATTCTCTTTTCTCCACTTTTATTCTACTCTATTTATTCAGTCACCTGTAATGTTGATATATATATTATTATACTGGGGATTTAAATAATATTTCTGAATACATTTTCCTTCATCTTGTTTCTTTCAGAAGTAATTTATGTCTTTGAGCAAGTCTAGAATTCATAGTTCCATAAGTTGGTAGTAAGGCATTTATCACATCATATACTTTTAAAAAAATTAAATCTTTTTATTTGATTATTAGGCAAAGTATAAAGAAGTAAAGGCAAGAAATGCACAGTTATTGAAAATGCTTCAGGAAGGTGAAAGTAAGTGATTTCTGTTTTTAGAATTAATCTTAAAAATATTTGAAGATAACTTTCCAAGATGTATGATTTATTAACTCAACAAAATAAAAGGTTTCCCAAAATGGTGGAACTGGATTGTTTTTGATAATTTTATGATTGCAAGTCTCTCTTACAGCACCTTAGTGTTACACAAGTTTACAATTATTGAAGTAAGAAACTCTTGAAATTTCAGTTCTTATGAATTATTGGACCACATTTAGACGGAAAACAGGAATAACATTTTCTTAAGATTCGATTTATTAATAGAGGAGAAGGCCTATCATCATTTCAGCTTTTCCTTCTCCCCTGTCTCCCTGTCCCCAGTCTTCATACTTTTGTGGCCAGTCTAAACTTTTGGCTATAGATACCAGTAGGAAGCCAAGGAGCTCAATCAAAAATGACTAGAGATAATACTGGAGAAGGAAATGGCAACCCACTCAGTGTTCTTGCCTGGAGCATCCCAGGGACGGCGGAGCCTGGAGGGCTGCTGTCTGTGGGGTGGCACAGAGTCGGCCACGACTGAAGGAGCTTAGCAGCAGCAGCAGCAGAGATAATAACGTTAGTAAAGTTGATGTTATATGAAACTCCCCAAATCAGCTGCATTTCTGAATATGTATACCAAATGGCATTGGTCTTGAAAGCTCTGTGAAAAATTTACGTTAAGAACAAGTGTGTATTAAATTTGTAAAAGAAAATGATGAACCATATAAGACATAAAGACATGAATAGATGAGAAAATCTTTTATATAGATGAAATTAAGTGTAACAGACAATCTCCCTTGTTAACAAATGATAATGAAATCCCAAATATAGCTCCTGTGAGTACTGTATAGCACTTAAGAAATTAAGAATTTATGAACCACACCTTAAAAGATAAGTAAACAAGATACCTAAAATTGTTTCAGATATGAAGATAGTAGGAGTGGAATTGTCCAACCAAAATTTAAACTATATTAAATAGCAGTTATTAAAACAATATGAGTAAAAACCAGAAATCCTGTCCAATTGAATAGAATAGTCTTCAAGTAGAGTCAAACATTTTTTATAATTTTACTATTTTTATAATGTAACTTAACTGTTACACAGCTTAACTATGATAAAATAGAAGTTAAATAATAATGGGAAATGACATTATTTGAAGTTAGACATCAGCATCCTGAGATGAATTTAGATATATGCATGTCACTGAGCTCCATGTGGATCATTTCATGAATAACATTATGAAAATAAAATGTTTACAAGATACATTTCTAATTGAAGAAATTAAGGGTATCATTGAATACTGGATGTATGATTTTTAAATATTTAAAAATAAAGTAATATTCCTTAGGGAAACAGTTGTGAAAAGTGAGAAAGTTAACTGATAAAAACTTATTCTCAAAAATAGACTAAAATGGCTACCATAAGTAATATCAGTGTCCATACTCCATACTATAAGTCGTCCAGGTAGCATAATTTTATATAGAACTATTACATGAAAAATATGGTACATTAGAGTATACAAATGTTAGCATTTATAATATAAATATAAATGTAAATATAGTCAGTTCTATTATAATACAATATGTGTTCCTAAAAATCACTAACCTTTACAAAATCATATAAAGACCACAAAATTTATAGAGAAAATGGAATTAGCATACAACATTTAAAGGTTTCATCGGTGACATGAAAAAAAATGGGAACTTAGTTAAAAACGTAACAGTTTTTTTCATGTTAAAATGGTTAAACACATAAGTACTATAATAAATATGGCACTTTACTTTGAAGACAACCTAAAGTTTGCTGTAGAAGTTGGTTTTAGAAGGGTTGCAGCTTGTGTTGTTACTATTAAGTGATGGAAGGATGGACAGTAGGTGTGGTTCTTGACACAGTGAACTGAAATAGCTGGTAGGTAATTTCAGGTGTGTGCATGGCTGCAGTTTTCTGTATTCATGAAATTGTGCTTAAAACAAGTATATAATTCATGTTATGTTCAAGTTGTTCTCTGATGTATCAGTCTCTGAAACACAAAACAGCATTACAGAAAAACTGTAGTTAAAATATGGCATAATTGTTAAAAAAATCACTTGTTTCTCAATGAGTGTGCTTAATTCTAAGGATGAAGGAGTAGAAAGTATAATTTGTAAAAGTTCCCAGTTTGAGTCTTGAGAGACTGTGATATGTTTCTTGACACAGCATCTCACCTTAGTTCATATCAAACTGGGAAAAATTTGAATGACAGTGTTATATTGGAAGAACTGTGGTGATAGAGATTTCTTGCTTTCCTAAAGAGGGAAAAGCCTTTAGATAAGTGAATAGCTCTGAAACTATAGATGTTACATGATTAACTGTGCTCATATGAGCTACATTTATTTGATAGTGCTTTAATGGTATGAAAAGTCAGATGAAAATAATTTTTGTGGGCCTTAATGCACAGTTGACAATTTTAACAACAAAAAAACCACGCTACGTTGTTTTTAAAATCTTGCTTTGACTAGTCTAGATAGTTAAAGTTTTTTCCCCTATGTGAAATGTTTTATTTACTCTGTCCTTATCCTTTTTAGTATAGATGGAAAAAATTAATCTTTTATCATATCTGTACAATTAATATTTTACCGCCATGGAAAATGTAAATTTTCCGATGAAAACTGCTGTGGTGATAATAATGATCAGAATTTACCAGTGGAAATAAAGAGGTATATATAGGTTCAGGAATACAGTCATTAAGTATTGGAATACAGTCATTAAGTATGAGGACAATTTAATCTTTGCCTGACTGCACTGCTGTCTTGGTTCACCAAAAGTATTATTGAAGTATCTGAGTGATTGAAAAGATTATACTGCTATTTTTCCTTTTTTGTCAGTGAAAGATAAAGCAGAAATACTTCTGCAAGTTGATGAATCACAAAGTATCAAGAATGAGCTAACAATACAGGTAAGGAAAACTATTTATTCTTTTGTCCTGAATTAGGAAACTTGACTAAACAGAAAGACAGCCCTTCAGTACTGCAAAAAAAATGTTTTAAACCATACTTCATTATAATTGTGCCGTGCTGTAGCAAATGAATGAAGATTCTGTTTACTGTGCTAAGAGAGGGGGAAGATGAGGTTGTATTTTAGTTGATGTGGACTATGAATATAGAGATAGAAAGGGCAGATAGAATTTCCCGTGTTCATGTACTTGATTTTCTCCTCTTCCCATCCTTATCCTATGATCTTGTCTTAGAACAGTGAACTTGTCCTGCCTATCTTTATAATATACAGCTGAGCAAAATGCCTAATTGAAATTGTATGTGGGGAGAGAGGTTCTTTTCTGATGCTCATTAATCTAGTAGTGAAAAATCATCATTGCAAATAAGTGTTAAGAAATAGAGTATTGATCAAAAAAGTCTCTTTTAATTGAATATTTGGTTATAGGTAACTTCACTTCATGCTGCATTAGAACAAGAAAGATCTAAAGTGAAAGTGTTACAAGCAGAATTAGCCAAATATCAGGTATGCTTTTATAAGTGTTTTCATCACAAATAATACATTTAGAATAGATATATACATGTGAGGATAAATGTACTATTTTATTCTTAGGCCACAGTTTATTCACCAAATTTGTTATTATTGGTTATATAGTTTACATATTAGAAAATTTTTACTCTAGATATTGGTGTATACAGCAATAACTAAAGTAATTCAACATGGTCTTTGGTGCTACATAGATGATGTGGCATATGTGCCAGTGCATCCTGTTGAGGGAAGGTACATAATGAGGTTCATCCCATTACATTGTAAGTTTGATCACTTGGGTACAGCAATATCTTTTAGATATCTTATGGTAAAGATATCTTCCCCCTTTGTAATCAATAAATAATATGTGACATTATAGTTTGAGATTGTGTGAATATTCTTTTTACTCAATGGTTTTAGCATCCATTGGTGATATTTGTAACAGTTATTATTTTGGTAGTTGCAAAAGAGTGATTTTTCTAATTCTATCATTTCTTCTGCATTTACAAGCTGGCATTGAATACTTTTTTCTGGATGAAGCCATAAATAATGTCATGGCTTTCTTTCAGTATATGTGTACATGTGTGAATATCTACAAACACATATATATTTGTGTATACATATGTATATGTGTCTATGTCATGATGTAAAATGAGTTAATTAGTGTGGAGTCATAGTCAGAAAAGTTTGAAAGCCACCACTGGTGCACTAGAGAACATAAAAATTCTTTAGCTCCAGCTTTTGACATCTCATCAGTCCAGGAAGGAAGATTCCCTTTGGGAAGCTTTGAAAAGGATTGTTGGATTATTATTATTTTTAAAAAAACTCTTGTTTAGAAGCAAAGTAAGAGTTTTAAGCTGTATAACATTGGTAGATATGTATAGTGAGTATCTACCTTGTAGAAAGTTTTTTAGTAACTTTATTTTTTATTTCCCTTCAGTCAGGAAATAAATCTTGTTTTTAATACCTGTCATTATACATCTCAAGTTTTACATAACCTCTTCAGATTTTTTCCCTCTGGATAAATCTTTTCAAAGCTTTTATTTGTTCAGGAGTGAATAATAGCATTCTTTATTTGATTTTTTTTTTAAGAAGGTTGTTATAGGTATGTTTTTTAACTCTTGAGAGGCAAGTTATAGGCAGAAAAAGGATGGAACAAAGAGAAGCTGCCAACATTATTAAATGGGTCTGGGTTCCTTGTGCCCCTCATATAACCACCACTCTGAGAAATGTACTTTCACAGGCAAGTCATTCCCAAATTTGGCTATCATCAGAATCTCTTGGGAACTTTTTGAATTACAGATTGTTTAGCCCACTCCTAATTATCATAAATAAATAGATTGTCTGGGCATCAGAATTTTAAAAATATTACTACTTAGGTGATTCTAGTGATTAAGTTTAGGTATCTTTGCCATAGTTTATAAAAATGAAAAATTATTAAATTATTATAAATACCTTATACTATTAGTGTTAATCAATTAGTCATGTCTGAGCCCATGGACTGTAGCCTGCCAGGCTCCTCTGTCCATGGAATTCTCCAGGCAAGAATACTAGAGTGGGCAGCCATTCCCTTCACTAGGGGGTCTTCCCAACCCAGGGATCAAACCCAGATCTCCCACATTCAGGCAGATTCTTTACCGACTGACCCACTAGGGAAGCCCCCATCAAACCATTATTTATAGTTAAAATGGAGGGTAGAATAGTTATGGATGATTAAATTTTCTTTTTTGTACCTTTGTGCTTTTCATATTTTTAAAATATTTGCTTTTTGAATCAGAGTAAGGCAGAAAATGTTACTTTAAAAGTAATTAATGAAAAATTACTTTCTGTCTTTTAAGCTACCTTTCTCTTTCTTTGGCTCAAGTTAAATACCATTGATAGAGTTTCATTTGGGGCAAATTAAATATAGATTTTTATATGTCACTGAGCAATATGAAAAGTATAATATTCTTTTCAACCCATTGATGAACAAAATCAGATTTCTAATGCTTTCTTACATGAACAGAACTATACAACACTTGAATTGGAAATCGAATTACCCAAAGGGGTAACGAAGCAATTCCCCAAATTTGCTGATCATATGGAGCAAGTTTATTTTAGCATTGATCAAAATTTTTATTTTTTAAAAAGATCTGGGACAGTGCAGATGAGCTCTGAAAAATAAGATACGGGTAATCATAGTAAGTCCAGACTAATTCAAATAGATGACTGTTTTCTACAACCTACTTTAACCATTGATAAAAGCCATGTAAAAATAATTTAGTTGTATGTTAATTCAGGTTTGCAACAAACTCAAAAAGAAGTTTCTTCCTTTTCATAGTCAAAAATGCCTTTGATCTCATTTATTCTTAAAAGGAAACTTCCCTCCAAAATGTTACTTTCTAAATAATTTACCCTATTTCTCTTTGCAGGGTGGCAGAAAAGGGAAAAGAAACTCTGAATCCGACCAGTGTAGGTGATTCCATTAGCCTTTAAGGTCAACACAAAAGGAAAACTTTCAGGGTTTTGCAAAAATGTATATATTTAATGCTGTGCAACTGCTGAACTGTGCAGTTTTTGTTGAAGAAATTTAAAATGATTAGCTCACTAACAGTGTATAATTTTATGTCCTTTTGGCTTAAAGTGAAAAGAAGAAAAATAGAATTACAGCAGAACTCACTGATTATTGTATACTATTCATACTTCTTATCACTTTAGTTTTTCATCAGTCAATAAAATTAATTTACTCTTCCATTAATATGTTTGGTTTTTTAAATTTCAGAAACAATGTGAAAGTGTGGCTTTTGTTCATAGCGCAATCAGTTTCTTGGATTTCAGCTCACTGAATATTTACCTAGCACTTTGTCCATCCTGAACCTTATAGGACATACAATATATCGCCAAGTTTCTTGGATTTCAGCTCACTGAATATTTACCTAGCATTTTGTCCATCCTGAACCTTATAGGACATACAATATATCGCCAAATGGCCTATGTTCAGGCAAAACAGAAGATGGGGGTAGGAATGATTACCAAAAATAATTACCATACATATTAAGAGTGTGATTTCACATTGTTTGGAAATTAGAAAACTTGCATGAGATGGTTCTTGGAGGGTGGATACCTTTTCTTTAAATTTTTTGAGAAGCATCCCAGGCAGAAGAAGAAGAAGCAAAACCTGGGCAGAAATATTTATGTAAAGAATAGTCTGGGGAATTCCCTGGTGGTCCAGTGGCTAAGACTCTGCGCTTCTGATACAGGGGGGCTGGGTTCGATCCCTGGTTAGGGAACTAGATCCCACATGCCACAACTAAGACTCTATGTAGCCAAATAAATAAAAATAAATGTTTAAAAAAAAAAAAAAAGAATAGTCTGACTTGAGGATCAAAATGTGACACTGAGAATAGGAAGGGTGTTGATTGGGGGGGTGAAGATAGGTTTGTCATTGGTATAATCAGTTAGTAGTTTACGGGATGGAATTTTTTTTTAGTGTAGTCAGTGAAATACAAATATGATTCATTAAAATACAAAAGTTTTTTTGTTTTATAACAAAGATAAACACATAAATACTGGTACTGGCCTCCAAAACCAGCATTATAAGAAAGACTCCACTTCATGACAGTCTTCAGAAAAAATACTTTATGTCATCATTACTTATATGTCTGGCTTCTTCCATAACTGTGACTTACTGTTCTCAATGTTTAGTTCTCTATGTGGATCTCAAAGTAGATGTTAAATAATTATTTGTTTAATTAATTGGTAAAGTAGTAAAGATTTTTAAGATAATTTCCCTCTAATTTACCTTTGATTAAGAGTAGGTACCCTCAGAACCTAATTAATTAATTATATTTGGTAATTCATGATGCCATATTTTTCTATGCAGTGATGAACAAAATCAAATTTCTCATGTTGACTTATATAAACAAGCTATTCAATAGAACTTGTATAGTTTCCATTATAATTGAATTACCAGCGCCCATCATATTATCATCTGCTTTTGATTAGCTACCTGTACACTATCCATTTGGTACATTATCTAACATCTAGCACAGTGCTTGGCAAATATTTCAATAAATATGCCGTTTTCTACTAGTGTAAATATCAGGCTTCATTGGTCGCTCAACAGTAAAGAATCCTCCTGCAGCACAAGAGATGCGGGTTCAGTCCCTGGGTTGGGAAGGTGCCCTGGAGAAAGAAATGGCAACCCACTCCAGTATTCTTACCTGGAACATTCCATGGTCAGAGGAACCTGGCTACCATCCATGGGTTTGCAAAGAGCCGGATATGACTTGGTGACTAAATGACGACAGCTAGTGTGTATATAGTTTAAAATTACCTGGGCACATAGAAAATTTCATTGATTATTCTCTTTTTGCCTTGAATATTCTCAGGAGTACTGCATTCATGACTTTGTTTTTCCCCCTGAATTTTTTTCCCTTGATTTGTGTATCCACTCCTATGGATAATCTATTATTTCCAGGCCAATGTCTCAACAGAGAAGGCTTTAGTAAGAAAAGACAGTCAGTGATCGGTTAATGAATTCTTCTGTTTGATTTGTCAGGCATTCTATGTTATTAAATACCATTCCTCAGATTCTTTTCTGTTTCCTGAATGTTCAGTGAAATTTTTGATAGCTTATTATGTACTAGGCACTGTGCCAAGTACTAGAGATGTAAATATGTCCACAATCAATTGGAAGAAAATAGAAATATAGAGAAATATTCATAAAATATTCCAGTAAATAATTATATATTCAAATTGCTATTGGGGTACAGAAGAAAATACATGCTATTATTTTAAATATTTTAGATACCTTCTGTGGGATTTTTTACATCTTCTATAGTGTGTTAGTAATAGCCAGCACTTATGAACTACAGCTGTGTTCAAGTCCCAGTTCTAGTGTAGCTGTATGGCCTTGGCTCATGCTAAATATGCGTGAAATTGCAGCATGAAATTTGGTATCAAATGAGAACAGCTAGTGAAAGTATTGGATAAAAAACTGTGTAAGATGTCATTCTTACATTCAAATTATTTTCAGTCTAATATGAATAAAAGCATAGCACTTAAGTAAAATTCAAGATAGAATACAGTAGATTCCATAAGAATTATATGGAAGTAAGAGTATATTTGTTCAGTGTATTCTATATTCTTATTAAAACAATAATGTTTTAATTGGTTAATAGGTAGCTTTCCCAAAGAGTTTTAAAGGGCAGAAGGTTGTTTGATGAGAAAGGAAAATTTAAAAAGTGGGGTAAAGGAAAAGCAATGTATGTGTTCAGGGAATAGAAAGATAGCAAGGCATGTGTTGAGAAAATTGAGTGTCTTTATTTTTCCTGGAACATAGAAAGTAATGAGATAGCCAGAAAGGTTGTTTGGGGATAGCTACCCTTCATCTGAAATTTTAGATTAAGAAATCTATGCATAATTTGGTAGGCATGTGGAAGCCATTAAAAGTTTATATACAAAAAAAAAAAAAAAGTTTATATACAGAGAAGTGATGTAACCAAAGTTGTCCTTTAAAAAGATTGGAAGACAATGATGTAATAGGAATTATTGAAGAATAAATTTGAAAATATCAAGGAAGCTTTTATAATAGTAGAAACAGGAGGTAAAGAGGATCTGAACTGAGGATAACTATTCAATTTAACAACTAAAGAATATGACCTTCAGAATAGCTTTTTCAATGGCACAGATCAAGGCATTGAGGGAAAAACTCTTTAACACTTTTTGGCAGTTATAAGACAGGGCTCCAAGGTGCTTTGAAGGGACTCCAGAATTGAATGAGGGTTGGTCAGTTTAAGACTGAGTAGACTTTTACGACAATATGTTCATGAACCAAAAGGAGCCAGTTAAGAAAAGAATGAGACGAGGGGAATGGTGGGCTTGCTTCAGAGGCTCATCAATTAAGTATTTACTTTGTTGTTGTTGTTTAGTCGCTAAATCGTGTCTGACTCTTTTGCATCCCCATACCCTGTAGCCTACCAGGCTCCTCTATCCATGAGATTTCCCAGGAAAGAATACTGGAGTGGGTTGCCATCTCCTTCTCCAGGGGATCTTTCCAACCGAAGGATACAACCCACATTTCCTGCCTTGCCGTTGGATTCTTTACCACTGAACCACCAGAGAAGCCCTAATATCACCTGGGAGATTTATAAAAGTACCAACACCTGTGCCTCATCCACTACTAATTCATCAGAATCGGTGAAAAGTGGGGCCCAGAAATAAATATTTCTTAAACTTCCAAGGTGATGCTAATTGTGTAGCATCCAACTTGGATACTAACTACCACTTGAACAGATAAATTCAATACATATGTCAAACAAATGCATTTTGGTTGTTTTGAGTGGGTATTTTATAAGGTACATGGCAATTTGTCTTAAGAATTAACATTCTACCAAAATTTTTGCAGGATTACTATCAGTTATGGAGTATTTCCATCATTAAATTTATCACAAGTGATAGTGTATACTTCTGTACTATTTTACATTAAACATGTATTATTTTTGTAACTTTTAATAAAAGATAAAAACATTCAATAATTACATTTTATAAGATAAATTTGCATTGCAGGCAGATTCTTTACCACTAATCCACTTGGGAAGCCCTAGGTATTTACTTGCCATTGTGTAATTTGGTTTCCTTATCAACAATGTTTGATTCATAGTTTAATTCTAAATTAAGCTGCTTTCTATTAATGGAGTTATTGCCTTTTCCATATAACAGTTTAAGAATGTTTAAGCAGAACTCAAGGACTTAAAAAAGAAATATAAAATGATTTTGTGATCGGACATTAGTAAACTTCAATGAAGAAATAATTCCTTAAGCAACAGACAGAAAGTGGACGAGTCTCCAAAGTCTGTAAATTACCGAGGGATTGTCCTGGGGTAAATTTTTAATTGAATTTAAAATGTTATTTACTTAAAGTTAATACTCACTTCTAGTATGGTTGTTATGAAGTAGATACCCATATGTACTATTAGCAACCTTGTACTTAGATTTCTGCCTTTTGGAAAAGCACTATAGTAATACGTTTCAGGAACCAGAAAAATGTTTATACCCACTGATTCCCAATATTGGATAATTTATCCTAAGAAAACAGTTTGAGAGAAGAATAAACTTTAAAAGAACTATACAACTATAACAGTATAACAGCGAACCATGGAGTAACCCAGATGTATAGTTGCAGTGTCTCATATAAATACCCAACTCAAATGATAACACATCAATGGGATTACTGTGTAGCCTTTTAAAAAGGTATAATTCGAATAACTGTAAAAACATTGAATATCTTGAACAAAGTTTAAATACAAAGACAAAAATTTGTACACTCATTATAGCTAATGTGAAAATATATATATGGATATGGATAAATTGGAAAGTAGTAATTCCCAAAAAAGTTGCTTGTGTTGGGATGGGGGAATATGGAAAAGTATGGATGGGTTTTCCCCCTAAATTTTATTGAACATACCATTTTTTTGTA